GAGAAGGAAGAGGCTGGACAAATTCTTCAGCGGGAAACTATCGCAATCTTCGTCATCAGAGATGCACAAGCCGCAACCAAAGACATTGGCATCATACTTGAGGGACAAGAGGTTGTGAATAAGTTGGCGTCTGTTGCAAATGCTGTCGCCATTCTCCTGGGCTTCCTTTATGCTCTCAATCTGGAATATCCCAAGACATTAAAATTGACATTTGAATATATCCAGAAAGTCTTCATGGAGCTGGACCCGAAAGGCATGGCCACCAAGGTCAAGAAGCTCTATGACCAGCTCTACAATAGAGCTTAGTTCAGGTTTCCTACACGTCCAAGTTTTCCAGTCATGGAAAATGATAACAAGTCACAGAAAACGTATGTGACTGTCCTGGAGAATGAAAAGGTTACACACCTGTGTGTAACTAGTTATGGTTCGTCATTCTGAAGTAGAACTGTTAGAAAATATAAAAACTGTCCTAGCAATTACCCTGTGGCACTGATGGGTTCTGCTCTGGCTGGTCGAGTACGCAACTGTTTTGCGTACGCATTTGATTTCAAAGGTCAATAATATGTTTGGCTGCCAGCTCTTCAAAGTTCCAAATCTGACCCTTGAGAACTAAGCTTACTGGCTAACTTAAGACTTGACTCACTTTTACACGATTTTTCAAAATGTGTAGAATGTCTTCATGTCTGGTCAGCTCAATGTTAACCTCACTTGAGGATTTTACATTTCAGCACGTTTGGGATTCCAAAGTTAATGTTATTGGAGTTGTACAATGTTAAGATAAATCAGGGTTAGGCTGTGATTTAAAGCACGCAAAACATAACTAATTTAAGGAAAAGGGCTTAAAAATACAGCTAAATTGTTTTACCCTTAAAGGTAATATTTATTAAAATGATAATTTAGGTATTTTTCTCACTGTAAACTGGTGGTCATATTTTTGCTTGCTTATATCACAGCATAAGTCTGAAAGATGTTTCATTTTCAAAAGGAACGGTCACTTTATAGTATGAACGTTTTTCATTTGTTTTCTTAAATGTTTTGATATGTGGGGCTGACAATCAGACCATTGAAACTTGACTGTTTTCTGGCAAGAATTATTTTTCATTTTTATGCCTTTAGGCATACAACCGAGGGGTGGTTTTTCTATGTATTATTTTAAATTGTTACATTTTATTTGAACAATGCAGATGCCCTGTAAATATGGTTGTTTTATAAGTAATAAACCCATTATTAAATATCACAATGTGTAATGAGAATTATTGATGTAATCTATATTTTTTGGATTAGATTAAACATTCAGTTTATGTTCCTTAAATGAGAAAAATATAGTTTAACAAAATGTATACATTTTTGATTGGATAAAACAAATAATATTTAGTTAATTTTAACGAGAAAAAACTGTTTGATAAAATCTATATTTTTTTGTTTGGATTAAATATAGAATTTAAATTAATTGACTTCCTTCAACAAGACAAATATACTTTGTGCCAAGTCTTATATAATAGTTTCCATGGACATAAGAAATATTGTTTGAGGCAAGTTATTTATTTTTCATTGGCTCAAGCTATAGAGTATAGATGTGAACCATTACCCTAAATTTTTTTAATTGGTTGAACGAAATACTTTTACCAGTGTATGCACTGCTGATTTACAACAGATACATTCGCTTGAAAAACAAGAAGCTAACCTTGAAGCAATAAAAACAAATCTTAGAGTGCTAATGGAAAAGCTTGAGCTTCAAACTGATACAATAACAACCATGGAAGCCCTGGAGTATGGTGGAGGATGATAATATATTTGCTGTGGTGGAGCAATACTGTACTGGTCAACCACATGAAAATGCTGATGTTCATAATGAAGAGGAACAAGAAAAAAAACATAAAGCCAAACTCCAGCCAAGTCACAATCGAATTGCAAAGAAAGAGTAACTCGATTTAAGTAATGCAGCACCAAATCAAAATGACTGAAATGCTGACAAAGTAGCAACGCTTAACATTACATCCATCCAGAGAAATACCCATCTTTAAAGAATGTACATTAGAGTACCTTCCATTTATTGAGATGTTTGTCCAAGCTAAAGACTTGGTGAGAAGGTTTCAATAAATGAATTCTAAAAAGGACGAGAAAGCCAAGAGATTGCTCGAAGAGAACTATGGAAATGAACTCTTTTGCAGCAGCTTGTTTGGAGAAAGGTCAAATTGGAATGCCATTAACAGTGAAGATAGAAAAGCACTGCTCAATTATACTATTTTTCTTTAAGGATATTTTAACTCAATGGAAAATATTGATACCTTCCTTTAAACTCAGGGAAAAGTGTAGAACTGCAAATTCATAGATTCAAACAAAATGAAAAATTCAATGTTTCTAGTTTTGGTTGATTTCATCAAAAGACATGCACTGATGGTTTTAAAGAAATTAGTTTTGCAACAGTGAGTGCAGGTGCACACATAGAAATGCAAAAGAGCAAAACATGTCAGATTTCCAAAAGACAGAGTTACGCCAGAGCTACCACCATACATGTCAGAGTCAATGACTTTGGCCAACTTGACAACACTTGATGATGAAAGCCCTTCAACAGTTATGTGCGTGTACAAATGATCAACAGCCGACACACATAACTACAGTGCAAAATGTTCCAAATGACTTTGAACCTCTATCACTCGACCACTTGCTCCAGCTCAAGGTCAAACCAATGTTACCACCAGGTTAAATCCATCTGCAATATTCAGAGCCAAAACACTGTTGGCAGCAAGTGAAATGCATAACGGAGTTCTGGAGCAGATGGATCTACGACTTTGCAAGAAAGACCAGAATGGAATTGCATTCAAAGAAACCATATACCTGGACATACATGTATTGATCATAAACTCAAATGCACTTCATTGATCCTGGTTAATGGCAAAAGTTCTGGAGACACCACCCAGATCAAGAGGTCTGATTAATTTTAAGACAGAAACAAACATGCTGGAAAGACCAGTAAGCTAAGTTATCTCTGTGGTGCCAGTCTCAGAATAAGGCAAATTAACATTCACAATTAGAATGTAGTTTTCAAAGGCTGAACCTTTTGTATCCGGCTCCTTTTTTGTTTTGTTAACTTTTATTAAAGATTCCCATTACAATTTGTTTTGTGCAGAATGCCAAAATAATATTTTCACCCAGTGGCGACCTCTAGAGTCAATTAAAAAGAAAGACTACAATTCCCTAGCACAAGCTTATTGAGATACACATTTATGGGCTGATGTGGCAGAGTTCTAAACCGCTCAATTATTTAACGTTATCATCTTACAGTAAGTACATCTTTTAGTTTTGTTTTGCCTCTTTTGTTTTTATAGTAAACCATACAATAACGATTATATTTGACTGACCTTTGGGGGCAGATGGTGCAGTTGGAGTGCTGGGCTCTGTGGGGAAAAACAGAAAGCTTTCAGTAAAACTTAAAAAATGAATGTTCCATGAATGTTTGTCAGCATTTTAAAGTGCTGTTTGACTGACAAGGAAAGGCCAAAAAAAAAGCCATATGAAGCTCAGCGCAAGTTCAATCAGGAAGACCAAGCTCTTCATTCAGATTACACGTCACCACATTACACTCTCCTTCCTCATTAAGTGATCGGGGGCGTCACTCCCCAGCTAACCAATCTCTCCTCTCCCCAATCCCACAAGCCTATCATAGCTCCCGCTAATCCCTTTATATCTGCTCTTTCCTCTGTCAGCTGTCATTTCAGGTGACAAAAACGCAACCCTCCTCCACCCCTTTCGCCTCCTGTCTCCTTCAGGACCAAGCTAAACCTTCTCCCTGCAGTCCGTTCCCACCTACTTATCACCACCACCAGTGTCTAGACCCCGGGGGGTTTCATCGGAGCGGTTCTTCCCCCTCCTCAATGATTATCCTGCAAACTGGGGCCTAATCGCCAAACACCATTTCATTCTCCTGTTATAATTGTGGCATCATTATTCATTCATTTATGTGTCCCGGTAATACATATGTATTCCATACATCAACGTCTCTCCTGATTTAAATATAATTATCGAAAAGATCCAGAAACAGGTGGCATTGATTACATTTTCAGATTTACCTGGGAAGACAGATAGCGAGGTTGCTTCGCTTTGATTTCCATTGTCTGCAATCTTTTTGAAACTGATGGTACACTCAGTCCCGTGAATCAGTGCCTTAACTGTGACAGTTTCTGCGTTATCAACAGTCAAACTGCCGCTGTTTGTTTCACAGCCTGAGTAATCTAACTGTAGTCTACACACAGCTACTTTCCCTGGTGGAGGAACATCTGTCATAAGACAAGAAAAGTACATCTCAGTATCTTTACATATCACTGCGTATATATTTATAACATTAGGTCAGTTATTGACAGTCACACTTACGGTCAGACTGTGGTGCTGCTGGAGTGTTCTTTCCTTCCTCACAGCACGGGTCAGGAGAGGGATCTGTTTCTTCATGATGTTGCTTGGTAATTGAGAACATTACAGTATGTTTGCATTCTATTTTGAACGAGTCATACTATATTAACAATTGTTGGTTAAATAACCTTAAAGAGGTGGATAGAGACATTTCTTTGTATCAGAATACAGCAGGTTGATGAAAATGTTCTTTGCACTGAGATTGGACATTGGCATTATTCATAGGTGATCATTTAATAAAAATCAGAATGGGTGCTGTCATGATCAATCATATTACTTAGAACCACATATCCTGTGACGCTCACAGGGGAGGGCAGGAAACTGTATAAATACTTATGCTTCAGACCTATGAGGGGTCAGCTATTCTAACCTTAATTTAACTATTACGCATTTCACTATACTTTTTACCAGTGCTGAAAGAAGTACTCAGTAAATATTAATACAAAAGTGTATATTTACCAGTAAGTAAAATAGTGTACAATAGTGTGTACCAGAACACTGTAGCTCTTCACTTTATAGAAAAGTATCTCTCAGTATCTCCACAGCAGGTATATATTTATTACATTAAATCAGTTATTAACAGTCACACTTACGTTCGGACTCTGGTGCTGCTGGAGTGTTCTTTCCTTCCTCACAGCACGGGTCAGGGAAGGAATCTGATACTCCATAATGTTCCTAGGTAATTAGGAAGAATATGTTGAATTTTTGAATTCTAATCCAATACATGAATCATGCCATATTCACAATACTTAAATATATGACAATATTTCTCTTGTAATTGTATTGTAATTTAATTATTTACCTCCACATCAGGGTTATCCATTGCAGAAACACTCTCAGCCATCCCACAAGATTCTTCAAACAGCGTCTCACTGAAAGTGTTAGAAAAGAACTGTGTTACAACATCTAATCTAATGTAGATTCTACACCAGGCACATGGAGAGGATGAGAGGGGACGAGGCTCAAATGCATAAAAGGGCACATAAGGAAGTCCCTCCCTTTCCGGTGGACCTCCATGGGACCTTCTTTAGGAAAAATTATGTATTGAAGTCAATAGATGAGAGTAACACCTATGTCACTTCCGGGTGAAAATTACGGCCCGGCCCTCTTTTGGGGGAAAACAACGCTGTCATTTGAATGGCGGTCAATACAAATTCTGAAGTTTTTGCCAATCCGATCAGAGATGTATTAAAACCGTGGATTTTTGGATCTTCAAAGAGCCCGATTACGATGGCCAGTCAGGCAAACAATTACATTAAATCATTTGAAATCCACGATCGGGCTCGATATATGGTTAAATTAAAATCAGTAGGCGAGGCCGTAATTTCGCCAGCTGTTACTTTCATGAGCGAGGCGGAAAATAATTGTTTTATCATGCCAAAAAGCTGCTGTGTCATTTATTGCACCTCAAACATGAAAACAAATCCAGAGTTACGTTTTTCTGTACTTCCTCTGAGAAAAAAGGACAGTAAAAGAAGAGCTCTGTGGCTTCAGGCTTGATCGACATTCAAATGACAGTGTTGTTTCCCCCAAAAGTGGGCGGGGCCGTAATTTTCGCCCTGAAGTGATGTAGATGTTACTCTCATCTAAGGACATCGATCGCCTACTGCTATATTTAACCATATATCGAGCCCTATCTTCGATTTCCAATGATTTAATGTAATTGTTTGTAATCGGGCTCTTTGAAGATCCAAAAATCCACGGTTTTCTTACATTTCTGATCGGATTGGCAAAAACTTCAGAATTTGAATTGATCGCCATTCAAATGACAGCTTTGTTTTCCCCCAAAAGTGGGCGGAGCCGTCATGTGTTACTCTCATATATGGCGAGAGAAAAATTATCTTTCGATCCCGTTTGAATTGTGCCACGAAGTACACATAGTTTGTCAATTTAAAAGATAATTTTGCAAGTAAAAAAAAAAATGTTTTGCCGTAAAACTTTTTTTTGTGTGAAACCGCTCAATGAACTACATCTCTGGTTTGCACAACACAGTGACTTGCTGCTGACCTGATCGACTTTAATCTGAACATGAGTGCTGGGCTCTGAGGGGAAAAACAGAAAGCTTTCAGTAAAACTTAAAAAAGTAATGTTCCACCAATGTTTGTCAGCATTTTAAAGCATTTTAAAGTTTTAAAGTTTGACTGACAAGGAAAGGCAAAAAAATATATAGCCATATATAATTATCCAAAAGATCCAGAAACAGGTGTGATTGATTACATTTTCAGATTTACCTGTGAAGACAGATAGCGAGGTTGCTTCGCTTTGATTTCCATTGTCTGCAATCTTTGTGAATCTGATGGTACACTCAGTCCCGTGAATCAGTGCCTTAACCGTGACAGTTTCTGCGTTATCAACAGTCAAACTGCCGCTGTTTGTTTCACAGCCTGAGTAATCTAACTGTAGTCTACACCCAGCTACTTTCCCTGGTGGAGGAACATCTGTCATAAGACAAGAAAAGTACATCTCAGTATCTTTACATATCACTGCGTATATATTTATAACATTAGGTCAGTTATTGACAGTCACACTTACGGTCAGACTGTGGTGCTGCTGGAGTGTTCTTTCCTTCCTCACAGCACGGGTCAGGAGAGGGATCTGTTTCTTCATGATGTTCCTTGGTAAGTGAGAACATTACAGTATGTTTACATTCTATTTTGGATGAGTCATACTATATTAACAATAGCTTATGTGACATGTATTTGTAATTGTATTGTCATTTAACGGTTTACCTCCTTATCAGTGTACTCCATTTTTGATACACCCTCAGCAATCCCACACTGTCCAGATTATCCAAACAGCTTCCCGCTAAAAGTAATAGGAAATAACCAGAGGTGTAAGAAGTACTCAGATATTTTACTTAAGTAAAAGTACCATTACTACAATGTAAAAATCCTCTGTAACAAGTAAAAGTCCTTTATTCAAAATGTTACCCTAGTAAAATTACAAAAGACATCAAAAGATACTTCAAGTACAAAACGTGAAAGTATACTCATTGTGCAGAAAGATCCATTTTCATATTTTAAAATGATTGTATTATAATTAGTAATAATGAATTTATTAATGTCAATTCATTTCAATGTTGCAATTGGTAGAGGTTGGGTTCATTTTGTATATCTTGATATATACTGCTGGGTGCCTATCATATAATAATACATGATGGTTTATTAGTTTATTTTGTATTCTGTATTATTATTCAACGTCTGCAGAGCAGCTATCTAAAACTGTGAAATACATATTGTTAAAAATTAAGTAAAAAGTTGCAAATTGCCTCCAAAATGAAGTGAAGTAAAGTATATAGTAGCACAAAGTGAAATACTCAAGTGAAGTACAGGTACCTCAAATACATACTTGAGTAGAGTACTTGAAAACCATTCAACACAACACCTGAACACCACAGATCAAACAGCATGTGAACTCTGCAGCCTGATAGATTACTGAAACTGATGAGTTATGCTTCTGTTTGAGACCATGTGAAGCCATCATTTAAAAAGTATTTCAATGAAAGACAAAGAAATGCTTTCCTACCTTTTGTAGATGAACCATGGTAACACGTAAATCTGTTCTTGTATCCAGAGCTTTCATCTGCAGTGTATAGTAGTATAAAGCTCTGCAAGTACACAGCCCTGCCCTTCTCTGCCAATGCAAGTGCCTATGAGAGGTGTCTCCTTTTATACTGCCTTGGGAAGCCACTTTGCATTTTATTTCCTTGAAAAAGAAACGTATTGTTTGGTATCCTCCCTTTCTGAATAATTATTTTCAGTCAACCCGCTCTTGGTCATGATTGTGAAAACAGCTTCTCTCTGAAAACAACAAGAGAGCTTTAATCTCAAGATTCAAAATTCAAAGGTTTATTGTCATAACATCATAACAAACTACGGTGTAATTATGTAATGTATGAAAAACTTAGATCACAAGTTCCTCAACAGTGCAATTTTTAAGATATACAAAAATATGTATAAAAAACAACAATCAAAAATAAATATAGTGCAAGCTCAGGTGTAAAATAGTCTTTTGGCCTGTGGGATGAAACTGTCCCTGAGTCTGGTGGTTTTAGTCCGGATGCTGCGGTACCGCCTGCCAGACGGCAGCAGACAGAACAGTTTGTTGCTGGGGTGATGGGGGTCTTTGATACTCCTGTGGCCTTTTTTGACTCTTATAGACTGTACTGCTATTCATATTCCAATAAGATAAAATACCATGTGTCTTAGTACTAGTCTGCTTTCGTTTTTGTTGTGTGCAGACTTTATTGTTGGGTATATCTTACAAAGCCAACCAGCGCCCCTGTAGCAAACGCCTTTCACCCATTATCAGGTATCTGTTATGAGGAACTGACAGCAGTATTAAAATGGGTTTCTGAGAATGATTCCGTTAACAAATACATATTAACATCAGATGTTCAACAGAGCAAGGAAATTGTTGTCTCATTCATTACAAAACAATTGGCTTGCACAACACCATCTTACCTAGTTTTTTTAAGTGTGAAAATGAAAAAATGTAATTGCAATGTCATTTTCTGTAAAGGTCTTGAAAGAAGTGGAAAGAAACTCTATTTTGCATCTGAAAAAAGCAAGTTAATGAACATGATCCTAATTCTGTGACATGGCATTATTAACAGGTGAACATTTAAGGAAACTAAAAAGGGTGTTGTCACGAGCATATTATGCTTTGAGGAGATCTTGCATAAATTAAAGCTAAGGGGATTTCCAACCTCAGATTAAATAGCATTTATTTCCTGTTGAAACCTGATGTAACCAGTTCTCAGGAACGTTATTCAGAACCACATACTATGTGAAACAACAGGAGAGGGGTGAACACTTTTTAAATGTGCTTTTGACACATTTGAAGTCCCTTCTTTTATGCTACTCCGTTGCACGAGCACAATTACGCAATTTCGTTATTCTTGGTACCTTGGAACCATTGTAAAAAAGGAATTGGCATTGATAAAGACCAATACATGCTAGAATCCTTTCTTATAACCTTCTCCTCCTCCTTTCTACCCAACTGACTAAGTAACTAACACTCTTACAACAGGATATTTTCTACCAGAGAGGGTGCTTAACCTACTCCTGGGCCTCTCATAACAGTTGAGGGTGAGATACTAGAGCAAGCCCTACTAGTGTACTTAGTGTGGGCTGATGTGAACTGGTTCCCCTGTGGGAGCTACGTTACTCTGCAGGCCAGTTCATTCCCTAATTCTTGTGATGGTGCCACGACTAAATATCTAGGCCTAATAAAGGATATCGGCATTCACCTTGGTGGAAGGACAAATCGACAAAGGCTTTCGTGACTCACTTACTTTTCCTTCCTGTGCTTACCATGTGTATTTGCTGAGACTGTTCCTTACATCAAATCAGAAGACTTGTCTCAGCTTCACTTGCTTCCTTCTGTTCCTGGAAGCAAAGCCAGTTCACCATAGTTTGGAGCTTTTGAAGTGCCAACCATGGTACAGATAGGGAATGGATGGTGAAGCAGGGTCAGCAGAACCATTCAGATAGAATGGGTCGGATTACTTGTGTTTTTTGGAAGGGGCCTGCCCTCCAATCAGGATTCACAGTGCTTCATTATGTACCTTGACCTACTGCTATCAATGCACTTTGAAATCCAAGTCCAAGCCGCTAGAAATCAAAGCATGTAAAACCATGTCAGCAGCATTCTGAGTGGCAACTGTTCTAATCCTGGCAATGTTTGTCAGTTGGAAACATTTAGTTTTTGAAACCTTGTTAAAATGGATTAAAAAATGAAGATCACAGTCTAAAATGACCCCCAGATTTGTCTGAAGGTTTGATTGATTGATTGATTGAAAAGTTTATTAACAGCTTGTATATTGGGTACAGTACAGTACAGCTCAAAACATACAATTGTTAAGGGGATGCAGACCAGAGAAAGACTTTCGTCTTGTTTACATCAGGGTCCCCCATTTCCAATTCATCATATCATTTAAGACATATAAGACATATTTGACATACAGATGGCTTATTTACAATTTACATACAGGTGGTTTTTTACATACAGATGGCTTATTTACAATTTTCATTTTAGATTTCGTTCTAATACATCCTAACCGGACATTTAAGACATACCAAGTCTACAGATATACAGTTAGTAACAGAGTCTAAAATGCGAGTATATACATAGATGAGGGGGGGAAGCTGTCCATTGTACGACAGGTTGAGATTTGTACCATTACCGGGGCCAGTTTTGCAATGCTTTCCCCCGAAGGTGCTCTTTAAGAGAGGTTTTGAAGGTAAGTATAGTTTTACTTTCCTTTACAGTTGTGGGAAGAGCGTTCCACCTTGATGTGGCATAATTGCGAAACGTGTATTCCCCTTTTTTTGTGCCAAATCTGGGTTTTACATGATTTGTGGAGCTCCCTCTGGTGTTATGATCATGGTATTCCTTGACCTTTGGGAAGAATTTTGACATGTACATGGGTACCATAGAGGTGTAGTGGATCTTGTAGACCAGGCCCATTGCAAGTAGCTGTACTCTGTCGTCTACTCTAAGCCATCCAAGGGGGGTTTGACTGAACAGTATTTGAACTGCAGCCACCAGCGCTTCATTCTTTACCTTAACCTACTGCTACCGAGGCACTGTGAATACAGCATTTGTTGTCCGTCTAACTTAAGACCATAAATTAATGTAGCGAATATTGTCTCACTTCAATCTTACATTTTCACAGAGAACTCTGGGCCAGTAAACAACCTGCCGAGACTCAAGGAGGACACTAATCCGCAACTGGCCAATATATGGTCCAGACTATATCCTGCCCTCTTAAAGGCCAGTATCACATGATCAGGATGACCTCAGAGGAAACAACAGCACAATTCAAAACGATTGCAAGCTTGTTTTGACATGCATAGTTTGATGCAGGAACTACAGCTGCTGGGTAATCAGGTTTCTGTCTTCTTCGTCAAACCATGGTTGATAACATTTCATTTCATTAGAGAGTATTCTTCTTTGTCCACGTCCTCTCCCTCCAGCTCTACCTCTCATTCTTCCTCCTCTCACTCTCACCCACCTCTTCCTCCTCCTCCTCTCACTCTCAGCCCAGCTCTTACTCTTCCTCTTCCTCTTGCTCTTGCTTCCATAGGCGCGTTCACACCAAGTACTTTTCCCACAGTAGTTCCTGAGAACTTTAGTTCATGAGAGTTCTTTTAGTTCTGACGAACTAAAGCAGATCGCGTTCACACCAAAATGAGTTCCTGGGGGTGGATTAGGCAAATGAGCCGCTGACGTCACTTATTCTTCTTCTGCTTAGCTTTTCCTGGCAGGCTGCAAACAACTTCACGGCGAGTACAGTAGGTGGCGGTATGCACCTTAAAGTTGCAATCTGCCAAAAAACCGAGAGAAGAAGAAAAAAAACTTCCGCTTCCGCTGTATGCTTCTGTTTACCTTCCGACCTCAGACACGGTATGGAGTTGACGTTTTGATGGTCGTGTTATACAGCTTCGTAACGGAGTTATTTAAGCCAATAACTCAGCCACAAATACAGATCGACCATTCAAATGCAATAGAAATGCTGAGTCGGAGGCGAAGGCGGTTAAGAAGCCTTAACAAAAGGATTAGACGACAAAATCACACGCGATGGACATGTTTCGCCGTTGTACAGCCGAGGATGATGGCCGTTATCACGCCCAAAGAACAGCAATGGTACGTTCATTAAATCACATTAATACTATCTAATGTAGGATTTATGGAGTTATGTAGGGCTAATTTGTGTCTTTGTATGTGTTCCAGATATGCGAATACTACGGAACTCTGGGTGAACAATAGAACGTCGGCCTGGTGGTGCCAACATGTGCAGTGGATCGAAGATTTCCGAATGTCCAAGGGCTCTTTTCAACTCCTCTGTATTCGCCTGGAAGCAACGTTGTGGAGAGGCATCTGAACAGCATGGAAATTGTAAATTGACAATAAAGCTGATATTTTGTACAGTGCATTTGGTTCTCTTTTATTTACCAGCCAACAGACACAATTACAATAGTGCAGACACCTTAGTGCAAAGATTAAATGTCAGTATCAAAACAGTACTGATACTGTATATTTGTATATTAATGAGTATATTATGTTAAATGTGTGTTAAAGACAATGGGATGAGGTTGAAAGCTCTTTAAAAACGTTTGTATACATACATGTTAACATACATGTTAAGCATGCACACCTGAAGAACTACGTTACACACACAGGTTAGTCTGTGTACCGCTGCTCTGCTGCTGGTTTAAACAAAGACAGTCATGATGCTAGTGCCGTGCATGTAGGTTCTCTTTTATTTATCAGCAGCAGATCAATAAGTGTCAGTAGTATCAAAACAATATAATAACAGTGGCAATATATATATATAAAAACAATAGGTAGGCTCAGCAGCAAAGTTAGGTGTCAGTATTAATAACAGTGGCATATATATATAATCACAATAATACAAAATTAACTGTCACAGGTGTAGGCAATTTGGGTGAAGTGTCTTCACAACGACATCCTGACTGCAGTGGGGTTTGAACCTGTGCTCCCCTGATCCGAACACCAACGCACCAGACCACTGCACCACACGCCTCCCAACAAGTCATTGTACAGTTTATCAACGACAAGTTTTTCTTAATTTTTGTATTGAAGGCCTGTTGGATTTAATCAGCTCGCTTAGCACTGCCAGAAGCCCAGCCTGAAAGGTATTTTGTTGCTCCACCTCGATTCCTGGGCCTTGTGTGAATGCAGCAGCCGTTCGTCGTGCATCTCCTTGGCACGCAGGTCCTCATTCTCCTTGCTGACCATGGCACGGCGGGCCATCGCCATGATGGTGTCAAGGAAGCTGTCATCGCGTGCCCACTTTCCTAAGGTGAAATAAGCAAGATACAAGATCAGTTTAATCGCAACAACGACACAACATTGTCCAAATCTGTCTCTGCAGGCACACAACAGGAGGAACACGGGGAACACCTTTGATTTGACTATTAACATTTTAAATGGTGAAGGCACTAGCAATTGGGGGATGGAGGGCTCTCAGGACATGATAGGGACAAATAGATACAAATTAAACGTTTTACAATTTTAATGCAAGCATTAATGATGCTATGAAGCTTTGAATGATTCATACCGTAATAGAATAAGCCACATAGTCTTTAAATAGCCTTAGACACTTGACAGTGACTTTATTTAAAAGTTATTTCTGTCTGTAATGCATCTTTGCACCACATTGACATGATAAGCTGCAACAATCACATTTAAATTAAATAAGTGGAGGTGGAGTGTGACTGTGTGTACGTACCATTTGACGATTGACCAGACAATGTGGACCCCATCTGCAAAGCAAAACAAGTTGATCTTACAAACACTTCCTAACATGTAAACAACGCTCTGTATGAACGTGTGAAGCAGAGTGTTAGCCCACCTTGGGGGAGCGTGTCTGGGGTAAGTTGACGGAGTGTTTCAGCCTTTTGACGGCCTCAGTGATGGCCTGGGTCTCCGTCTCGTCCAGAGCACAGCACAGGTTCTTCAGAGTCTGCACCACCCGCTCCACCGTCTTATACTGGGTGCTCTGAATATAGAGATACACGTTGGTCAGAGGTAGGAAGTAGCGGAGTACAAATACCTCGTTACTGTACTTAAGTACATTCCACTACTTATTTTTCTGATCACTTTTTACTTCTACTTCTTACATTTTGAACACAAATACCTGTACTTTCTACTTCTTACATTTTGAACACAAATACCTGTACTTTCTACTTCTTACATTTTGAACACAAATACCTGTACTTTCTACTTCTTACATTTTCCAAACAGGCTGGTTACTTTAGTTTGAATGTGTGTTTGGTGGCGTGATCATTATTATTTAGAGTCATTGCGTGCCTATTGATTTGAATACAATCCGTGTATCCATCATTTCCTGGTCTTCTCTAAAGAAGAAGAAAACGTTGTCATGTTGCCGTTGTTCAGCATGGAAACATTCATTAGCTAACAATGACATTATTGTTCTATTAATATAAAGGGAGGTCAGGTACTCTTTAAAACAGCTGGTAGTTATGGGTACTTTTTACTTAAGTACATTTCAAAGCCCTCTTTACTTTTACTTAAGAAGTTTTACCAGAGTATTTCAAACACGAGTATCTGTACTTCTACTTGAGTAAAGGATGGAGGTGTGTGGCGCAGTGGATAAGTGCATTGGTGTTCGGATCAGGGAAGCACAGGTTCAAACCCCACTGCAGTCAGCATGTCGTTGTGTCCCTGAGACACTTCACCCCAAAGTGCTCCTGTGGGGATTGCCCACAGTATTGAGTATGTAAGCTTTGGATAAAGCGTCTAACAAGTGACATGTAATGATTCAAAAAGCTTTTGAATATTGAATAACAAACCAATGTGGTTTACTTGTTATCCACAGTTTAGCTGCTAAATGTTTTTTAGCAATGCTTTTCTTTGTGCTCCACATATCTAAATGTATAAAGTGTGTTTTCACCTCTGTTCCCTCCTGTTTGCTGCAGTATGGCAGCAGCGGTCAGGATGGTAGTCCTGAGGGTGTGGAGCTGCCTACTCTCAGCGGGGGGGAACTGAACGTGGAAACTGTGTTTCTCTGAGGGATCCTCCATGTAGTCTGAGAAGCCTTCTGAGGAAACAAGGTCAAACTATTTAGGATAATACAAGGAACAATGTTTAGGCAGTAAATAGAATTTCAATTACATTTCTACTTAAATGTGCAAAAATATTAGAACATCAGTCTTTGTGGCATGCAGGTAATCAACTGTTTAAGCTTTTACCATTAACATGTAGAATGAATGTTGCAAATTACTTGAAATTATAGCAACTACAATCTATTGTTTACCTCTATGCATTAGCCACAGAGGTAGCATTATGTCCAGCTAGCATGCTAATTGCTAACGTTATATTATCGTTTTATCCCGGAGGGGAAAACTAGTTTCTAATCCTGAGAGAAACACCTCGCCTGAAACACACGATTAGTGCCATGAGTTAGTGAAGCAAATTACAGAACATTGCACACTTATTCACAAGTCAAAACGTGTTCATAGCGGGCATGGATGAGAATAGCTAGCTAGCTAGATGTTATTAGCCAGCTTGGACCTAACGTTAGCAAGTTCTACCATGGCTAGCTCGATCTACTGAGCAAATAAAAGTACATCTAAGACCAGTATTGTGCAGATTAAAACAGTGCAGTGCATGTATTTTATTTTACCTTGGTAGTCGTCCCGACATGACTTTGCCAGGTCTGCTAACTTTGCAGAGCCACAGAAACTGCATTCAGTAGAAGCTTCTGAATGTGGCGCTTCGCGTCCTCCGAGTCAATCGCCAGAAGCGCAGACACATCCTCATCCTCATCACTCCACCACTCCAATTGATTTATTTAGTGTTGCTATAATAACTGCTTTCACAAAAGGAATCTCTTCGTGTGTGCTGCGAAGCGAGGAAATACAATGGCCGCTTACAACAAAAAATTCTGAGTCAAACGGGCGTGGTTTGCATTCCGCACAGCCAATCAGACGTACGAACTACTTTCTCCCACAATAGACCCTGCTCTGTAGCAGGGACTGAAAAGCGAGTCTCGCGAACTAAGTTGAGCTACTTTAGTTCCTGGGGCTTTTTGGTGTGAACGCAAATATATCGTAGTTCTGATTAACTATTGTGGGAAAAGTACACCAAAGTACTCCGGTGTGAACGCACCTCATGTTCGCTTCCATTGTTGCTGTAAGAAAGTACTCACCTGTGGTCTTTTTATAGTGCTAACATCCTGATGGATGAGCCAACAATTATGCAATCAGGTGTTTGGTCAGGTGGAACGTGTTTCTTGATCATTGGTCCATGTGTGAGGCATTTTGGATATCAGTGTTATGTATGTGCTAAGACGTGACTTTATGTCAGATTCCTGTGTCTTACGTGGAGAAACGTGTGCAGTGGTTTGCAAAAAGTGCCATGTTGATTTGCAAATTGTGTGAAAAGCTGAAAACGTGTTTAGAGTTTAGGAAACTGGCCGATGTTTTGCTCTTTGAGTGTCAGTTAAAATAATTGTGCTTTATGTATAATTTTAGTGTGTCGAGAAAAACTGTAATTCACTTTGCATGTCTTGAGGCTACGGTTGTGTTTTAAATTAACAGTAAATTAACAATTGTCTTTAATTTTCAGGTCGAATTAGGAAATGTTTACGGTTCCATGTCTTTATGTTTTAAAGATAACAATTAGAAAGAGAAATCCTGAGTTTAAAGTAGGTGTTGTTGCAATTCATGTCCGCTAGATGTCAGTAGTCTGCTGGAGTCCATGTTCAGAGTGAATAGGTAAAGGACAGTTTTCAGTAAGACCATGTGATTGATTTCTTGAAAAATAATATAACTGGCTGAATTTATCTTTAACAGTTAAAAAAAATGCTCAGGATTAAATAAAGGTCAGTCATTTATTTATTATTGTCAACTCCGCTGACCTGAAGATAAAGATAATGAATGACATGGACAGACTTCCCCTTGTTCTGTTTCCATCTATCCTTTCTTTATCCAAATGTAATCATTTGTGTTTTTAATTAGCAAAATATACAGTTATGGACAAATCAACACAAAAACACTGGAAAGCAAAACATGTACACTCATCCTTAAAAACATTCTTTACTTTTAGTTTATTGTTAAACGGTATGTAATTGATTTCAGAGACACTTTTCGTTATATTCCATGGAATGCTCTTAACATCCCGATAGCAATGAATATATTAAATGCTTTGACAATAAATACATAAAGAAATTAATCTGTGGAAGCCGTAGTACTGTAAAAAGCACGACCAATCATCTGAGCCGGCCAAAATAACTGGATGCCCTACCTGCCTGTCAGCCTTCCATCTGTGCACAAACGTATCTCGTGCCCTCATTGGTCATGTGCGCGTTCGTGTGTGTTGGAGGAGTGGCAGATTTTTTCCGGTTGTGTACTTTCAAATTCTAGCGCACTCGGGCTGGTTTCTCCAAAATTACATACCCCACCTTTAACAGTTGAAATTCAACTTGAAGTTAATCTGAATTTCTCTCACTTTCAGAGTCTGAACCTGTGATTAACGGTGCATCCGACTGGATGTATGTGGACACACCTAGCCTCAACAAACTGCAGTCAGCCAAACACACCAAAGTGACTTCATATCGCACACAGTAAAGACAGTGACACACACACACACACACACACACACACACACACACACACACACACACACACACACACACACACACACACACACACACACACACACACAATCCATTGCGGAGTTGCCCCTGTTGTCTTGTTTTTACATTATTTGTTGAATTCAGAAGCCTAAGACTTGAGATGAAGAAAAATGTTAAATTATAGAATTAAAAAAAAGATGATTATTACAAAAAAGTATATTACGTAAAACTATATAAATAAATGAGGTGATGATATTTCTGTTTCCTTTAGAAGTTATTATACACTATGCTGTGATTCTGATCTGGGAAACATTAAAGACATTCACAGCCAGTCTGCAGATTTGGTCTCTTTATTGAAATAGTAAACAGTGGTCAGTATACATGTTAACAATATAAAGAATGAATTATATTTTTTATTACGTAAATATAAAGAATCAGATACTTCACAGAAACAAAAGATTATAATCTCTGAGTAAAAGAAAGATCATATGATGCTGAACTTGATTAAAACAAACGTTGTCATGTTTACTTGTTGACAATAGCACTTTTACATTGAATGATCTTTTAAGTGTTAATAAATGTAAATATGTGATATCAGATACTAAGTTGATAAAAAATAAAGTCGTAACAGATTTTGAGCTAAGGAAATGACATATCATACTCGAATAGGAAAGAAAAACAACCTGAAGGATAACCTACATGTTGACATTTAGACTGAAATATCTTTCAACAACAAAATCTAATAGATTATAACCTTCTGGAAAACAATCACATATCATCCTTAACTTGATTCAAACTTGTTGTCATGTTGACATGCTGAATATGAACTAAATTATCCTTTTACTGATTTAAACATGTTAAAATGTGGCATTTGATGCAGCCCAAAACGAAAAGTAACATAATACATTTTGAGTCAATATAATAACACGAACATAAAAATGTAAATATTTGGAGTTATATACGTATTGGAATAGCACTCAATAAGGTAAGAAGAAAATACATGTATGATCTACATGTTGACATTTAGATTGAATGATATTTTAAACATTGAATATGTAAATATTTGTAACTGATGTTTATATGTATTCACAGAAACTAAATAAGAATATATTCTACCTCTCTGGGAAACGGTCACATATCAAACTTAACTTGATTACAGCAGACTTTCTGTCATGTTTACATGTTGACTGTACCACCACTAAAACACAATGATTCATTAACTGATTTAAAAATGTAAATGTGTGGCTTTTGATGCAGCTCAGAAATGAAAAGACAACAATTCTAAATGTGTCAATAAAAATGTTAATAATAAGAGCCAGATACTTATTTGAAATAAAAATAAAGACATTGTCCAATCTTCATGTTGACATGAAGACTGAATGATATTTTAAAACATTGAAATTGTTAATGTGTTTATGACAAAAACACAGAAAAACATAAAAGCAAATATTTTTGCATCAGTTACTTTAAGGAAATAAAAACACTTAATCAAATCGGATTTGATTAATTGATACGACAATAACAACCAAAGAAGTAGGACACAAAGTCTGATTTAATCAAACTGAAACATTTACAAGTTCCTTGTAAGTTGTTGTGGGGAAAATATATGGTCAACCTTGCCTTCTCACAAACAGCATGTTACTCTGTGTGCTTCTCTTCATATGAATCAAGTGTAATCTAAATATCCATGAGAGGATGATGACTGTAATGAGGAGGACGTGACCCTCTGTGAGCACAAAGCTTGTAGTTTCTCATTTGATAGAAAATGCCTCTTTGAGGCTTGCCTCTGCTTCCTCCTTTGTGATTTCTTTCCAACCTGGAGGAATATCAGCAGGCTTTGCATCGTATGCTGCTGCAAACTCATCATTGAACTTTGCCATTACATATTTCCAGTAGTCTGATGCCTGGAGGCTTGCATCTGGTGGGATTTTCCAGTCCGGATAAATGTCTCTGTAAGACTTGTAAGGATGCCATTCACCCTTTGAAGCACTGCAGCGAAAACGCTTGTCACTGTTCACAGAGAAAGAACATAAGTCAATCACAAGTTTTTGTGTCTCTTCCGATCTGTATTGAACCAGACCATTTGGACGATGAAGTAAAGTGAAGTGCTCCTTGTGGGCTCTTCCTCCTGCATCACAGGGCGCTTGGCAGAACGGACACTGTTCACCACATCCAATCAGTGTGTTGAAAAGCTCGTTCTGAGGTTTCACCAGAAGGTTCTGTAGTTTAGTTTTGATGTTTGTTTCCTTAAACTTCTCTCTAAGAGCTTGTGCCATCTCCTTCACACACTCCGTGAGCCTGTGAGCAAACTGTTCCTGATTGGCATTGTTCAGGATCATGAATTTACCAAGAGCATCCTGGGAAATGACCAGTTTGTCACCAAGCTCCTGACAGACAACGTCAACAAATGACTTCAAGTTGAGACTCTTTTCTGTTTGAGCTTTCTGGATAGCAGTATTTATGCTGTAGACACATGACTGGAGATGTTGTTCCTCGAACATCGTAGACCCATTTGAGAAGCGTTCCACTATTTTGTTGAGTATCCAATTCTTTACATATTTCTCATAGGAGCAAATAAAGCTCAGGTACTTTTTAAAGTCATCCTCTGAGAGCAGATCCAGTAAAACTGAATACTGGAAGGACATTCTTGTGCTGAACTGCTCACTTGTCTTCATTTCACCAATGATATCAGGACCCAGGGAACGGTTGACAAAGTCTTCGACTGCAGGCTTCAAGCATCGGTCTGTGAATTCTTCTGCTTTCTTCTGGCACTGGACTACATGAGGGAACACATCTTTAAAATCAGAACGAAACGTTTCTTTGTTTTCGTTCAGACATCTGTAGGGATCATTCTCATGGATGAAATCTTCATGCATTTTCTGAAACCTTCTGGCTGCGTCTCCACAGATGTGCAGTTTCAGAGAGACTTCAAAGTGATGTCAACTTCCTGATTGTTTTGCAGCTTCTCATCAATCATCTTTAGAATCTCCTTTATGTAGGTATCATGGTAATGACTCTTTCTTTGCATTTTGTCAGTCATCATCTCTGAGCAAACTGTAATGATGCTGTCAGCTGTTTGTTGTACAGCCTTTGTGTGACTTTGAGCACTGACTAGGTCTATAAATCGCTTAATTCCTTCAGCTGTATATTTAAAAGGCAACCGTCCACACTCTTCCAGGGTTTTGTTACTCAACAAATAACTCGCTTGACTTCCCTTTTGTCTTAGATGTGTTCTCAGGCAGTGAGACACACTGGTGAAAATGTCCTCAACCTTCAATTCTGAACAGGATAGGTGAGTCACTGTTTGAGTCCACATCTTGTCAAATTCTTTGTCCAGCTCTTCCTCTTTCATCTTGATGTTTTTCTTCCTACATTCTTCAATCAATGCACAAACTTTGCCCTCTAATTCCTTTGTGTGGTTCTCCTTGATTCTATCAAGTTCTGTCATCCCCTTTCTGATGTCAGCTGCTGCTGTGAGTTGATTAAACACAGACCTTTCCATTTCTCCTTGAAGGCTCATTGCACTGTTTTTAAACTCCTGTCTGTATCCTTCAACAAGATAGACATGACTCTCTTTTTCCTTGAAGTACTGTTCCAGATTTCCAAGAAGCTTTGTCTCCCATTCAGACAGCTCTATCAAAGCTTCGCTTCTCAATAGCATGAGAAGTTCTCTCATGTCAGATTTGTTCGATTTATCAGCAGGTGTACCGAAGTTGGAGATTCTTTTTTCAGCTTGTGTAACCCATGTGTACATTTATTTTTTGAATTGTAGCCTGCATTGACTGGTGCCATCGGTGGGTTTCCATTCCAGAGTCCAGGAATGTACCAGTTTCCAGTGTCTGGACTGTACTCCATCACATCAGTGAAGCTCGAGTACATTTCTTTCTTTTCCATTTTGGCTGCTGCCTGGGTCATCTCGTTTAACTGCTTCAGGAGCAGTTTCCTGTCTCTCAGGCTCTTGTCATGGCCTGAAACATCGGACACATTCTGGTGAACAAACTGACATTTGGGCTTTTTTCCCACCTCTGTCAACCTGAGGAAAGTGTGTACAACTATCTGTAGGATGTCCTTCATTTCTGTTGAATTCTCCATTGCAACATTGATGATGGTGATATCACTCAGCCCCACAACAAGTGTTGCAAGCTCATTGTCGTGCTCGTGGCTATTGTCCAGTTGTGCGAGTTCTGGTGACTTTAAGCCCTCAGTGTCAATGATCACTATGAAGTCACAGTTGAGGTCTTTTCTGACATCTTCATTGATTTGAATCAGCAACATAAAGGCACCTCGAGTGCATCGACCACTGCTGACTGCAAACTGCACTCCAAACATGGTGTTGAGGAGAGTGGACTTTCCTGTGCTCTGAACTCCAAGAACTGTGACTACCAGGATCTTGTTCTTAGGAGACACCAAGTCATTGAGCTGAGAGAGAACATCACTCACCCATCTGAGAGGTATGTTGGATGCTTCTCCATCTACAAGCTCAAGTGGAAATCCAGCAAGCATTAATTCTGCACATAGCTTGGGGAGATGCTGCAGTTGTTGACGTGCTGGGTCTGTTTCAGGAAGCAATAGGGAAGCTTCATAGATCTGGCCCATTTCACGGAAGAAGTGTTCAGTCCCTAATGAGCTGTTGGAAAGTTGTTTCTCAATCTCCTTGATATCCTCTTTGTTCTCAGGGTTTTTGCATTTTTCTTTGTACTGCTCCCTGAGGTCAAAGAGTTTTTCCCGAGACACGTTATCGAGGTTCATTCGCATCCATTTCAGGAAATAGCACCTCTCTATCCCTGGGCTTGATATTGCATTGATGAAACATGTCATTGCCTTTGACATGTCCTGAGAGTTCTGTTTTTTCCGAAGTTCTTTTTTCTGTAGCCGAAGATCACTTTTGTACTTTTCTATATTTTTTTCAGACCCAACTTTCCGAAGCCGGAATTCTTCCTTCTCTAAGCAAGTGAGGTCTTTCCATATTTGTCCTTGCAAAGGAAGCTGAGCTTCTTTGTATTCAAGAAGGTCTTGAATTTCTGCAGTGATGGCATCTGAGTTTTTCTTCGCATTCTGGCAGTCTGGAGAGTCTTCATCAACAGAGATTCCGTGTTCATGGGCAATGTCAGACATCTTCTCAATTCCCCTCTTCACCTTTGTGTTTTCAAATGCATTGCTGACTTTTTCCCGCAAATCTTTGACAAAGTTTGCATCATTTATGTGCTTATCTTTCAAAAGGATGTTGCTCTTGGTTAAGCTCAACTTGGTTGCTACCTTTTTTACAGCATCTAATTTGAAATCTTTGCTTTGACGGTTGCCCACCAAGAAGATCTGTGCCTTGTGTTGTTGGTTGGTTAGCAGCTCACACTCAGCTTCCAAAGCATCAAAGAAGACAAAAACTGCTGCAGATGTCTGACACAAGAAAGAAAATTGTGTTTCAAATGAAGCAATGTCCCCACGAAGGTTAGCTACAGCAACTGGCTCGCTGAAGACGTCCAGGTTTTTGTTCCCACAAGGGAGGTACCAAGTCATTTCAACCAATCCATTGGATATTCTCCTTGGACTGTCACCACCCTCCATGTTACGGTGAACAAAGGTGTCATGGTTCTGCTGAGAATTGCTCAGAAGCTTATTGAGGATCTCTGACTTGGACAAAGAGCACTCACCCAGTCTCACAAAAGATATCATTGGAAGTTTAGAGACAACAATTCTCTCTTCAATAAATCCCTTGGATTCTACAAGGGACCGAGGTCTGTACTTTTTAACAATGTCTCTCATGGCCCAAAGCATGAGTGTGCACTGCTTTGTGTCACAGTTGGGAAGCAACAGAGGCACGGAAAACTGACACATGGACATTTTGAGGGCCATTTCCTGCTGTACAAAACCATCAGAGCACAGGAAGAGAGCAGTGATTATGTCAAGGGGATTCAGTGTTTCACCTGAATGTGTTTTTTCGTCTAGGTCATCAAGACCATCTGTGTGATCCTCACAGTTGGACTCGTGTGCAGGTGTATATTTCACATTCCTAGCTGTCACATTAACCATCATTAGTTTCTTCAGAAAATACCATGGAAGATCTGGATTACATTTGGCAGGTTCATCTGTAAAGGTCTTCTGGTCAATCCTCAGAAGTGTGCTTAGGGACAGCTTCTCTCTGTAGTGGTGATCCAACCCCAGTTCCTCCAAAAACTTCTCTTGCTGCTTCTCTGTAGAAAATAAAAACAATACATATAAAAGCCTTAATTGATTATTAAACAATTCATAAGCATGGATCAACATTTATTATAACATTTTTCCTTTCCTATAGTTTATTAAACTACAACTATGATGGGCAGTCAATTATTAAACAGCTGGTCTAATCGATGGATCCAGATCCTTCAATCACACTAGAATCAAATTAAGAGATATACAAATCTAATTGGCAGATTGCAATGGAATTGTCAGTGAAAGGATTTGAAAGAAGGGATTGAGACATCATTTGCATCAAATTACAGCAGGTTTAAAAAAATGCAATACACTGTTTGACATTGGCAGTGATAGGTGAACATTGAAAGAAACTATCGTTCATGTCCGTCATGATCAATCATATCCAAGATATATATTATGCATGGTTTAAGGAAACATCCACTTGAAAAGGAAAAAATAGACACTTGTTTGCAATGTTACTGTGCAATAGTCATTTTATGTAAAAGCACATTTTTTTATAAATGTCCCAGCATTTAATTGTTATAAGGTCTCAATACATTAATATATATATATATAATATAATATTTTTTTGCCATGTATTGGTTGTCTTTTTTACCTGCTATGCCACCTTTGCTGTAACACTGTACATTTCCTAAGACTAATAAAGGAATTCTGATTTTGATTCTGATAAGTACGCATACAGAAAATGTGTGAGCCAGATTAGCAGTAAGTCTCATATGTGCTATACTGGCAGTAATATATCTATGACAGCTTCATTAACATGAAGAAAGGCTGTTGCTGAGAAAGTTGCTCTATGCACTGCTGCTTTACAACAGATACATTCGCTTGAAAAACAAGAAGCTAACCTTGAAGCAATAAAAACAAATCTTAGAGCGCTAATGGAAAAGCTTGAGCTTCAAACTGATACAATAACAACCATGGAAGCCCTGGAGTATGGTGGAGGATGATAATATATTTGCTGTGGTGGAGCAATACTGTACTGGTCAACCACATGAAAATGCTGATGTTCATAATGAAGAGGAACAAGAAAAAAAACATAAAGCCAAACTCCAGCCAAGTCAGACAAATAGCAAAGAAAGAGTGACTCAATTTAAGTAATGCAGCACCAAATCAAAATGACTGAAATGCTGACAAAGGAGCAACGCTTAACATTACATCCATCCAGAGAAATACCCATCTTTAAAGAATATAAATTAGAGTACCTTCCATTTATTGAGATGTTTGTCCAAGCTAAAGACTTGGTGAGAAGGTTTCAATAAATGAATTCTAAAAAGGACGAGAAAGCCAAGAGATTGCTCGAAGAGAACTATGGAAATGAACTCTTTTGCAGCAGCTTGTTTGGAGAAAGGTCAAATTGGAATGCCATTAACAGTGAAGATAGAAAAGCACTGCTCAATTATACTATTTTTCTTTAAGGATATTATAACTCAATAGAAAATATTGATACCTTCCTTTAAACTCAGGGAAAAGTGTAGAACCGCAAATTCATAGATTCAAACAAAATGAAAAATTCAATGTTTCTAGTTTTGGTTGATTTCATCAAAAGACATGCACTGATGGTTTTAAAGAAATTAGTTTTGCAACAGAAAGTGCAGGTGCACGCAAAGAAATGCAAAAGAGCAAAACATGTCAGATTTCCAAAAGACAGAGTTACGCCAGAGCTACCACCATACATGTATGTCAGAGTCAATGACTTTGGCCAACTTGACAACACTTGATGATGAAAGCCCTTCAACAGTTATGTGCGTGTACAAATTATCAACAGCCGACACACATAACTACAGTGCCAAATGTTCCAAATGACTTTGAACCTCTATCTCTCGACCACTTGCTCCAGCTCAAGGTCAAACCAATGTTACCACCAGGTTAAATCCATCTGCAATATTCAGAGCCAAAACACTGTTGGCAGCAAGTGAAATGCATAACGGAGTTCTGGAGCAGATGGATCTACGACTTTGCAAGAAAGACCAGAATGGAATTGCATTCAAAGAAACCATATACCTGGACATACATGTATTGATCATAAACTCAAAAGCACTTCATTGATCCTGGTTAATGGCAAAAGTTCTGGAGACACCACCCAGATCAAGAGGTCTGATTATTTTTATGACAGAAACAAACATGCTGGAAAGACCAGTAAGCTCAGTTATCTCTCTGGTGCCAGTCTCAGAATAAGGAAAATTAACATTCACAATTAGAATGTAGTTTTCAAAGGCTGAACCTTTTGTATCCGGCTCCTTTTTTGTTTTGTTAACTTTTATTAAAGATTCCCATTACAATTTGTTTTGTGCAGAATGCCTAAATAAAAAATGCCTCTTCCTGCCAAAGGAAGAGGGGGGACATGGCCTGGTTCACCTGGCAAGCAGAGGGGCTGCTTTCAGGCTCCGGTTCGTCCAGAGGTTCCTGACTGGACCTGCTGACCTGGGGCCTCATTTATAAAGGGATATACGCTCAAAAAATGGCGTACGCCAGTTTCTACGCAATGTTTGCGATTTATAAAATACTAACTTGATTGGAAAATGTGCTGTCCTCCACGCAAACTCTAACCCATGCGTACGCACTAAGCACACAAACGGGAGAGACGAGAAACTGCGACACCGTTGGCAGAAGGAAGAATGGAGAGAACTAGAAAATGCATTTCCTGCAGAAAATGCGTGCGAATGCTGTAAACTGTGAACATTTGTGGCTGAATTTAGCTGAAAAAGCTGAATATGTTATTAGCTGAATGGTAGCTGCTTTTAGCTCCAAAAATGCAGAAAAAGCTTAATATTTAAAAGAAAAGGTTTAAAAAAACATGTATAGCCTTGATGTAATGAAATAGCTGAATAATGTAATAGTTGAATGGTTTCTGCAGCTGAAAATAGGCTGAAGGAGTTAAATATCAGATGTAAGTAGTAGTGAATGAATTTGTATTAAGATGAGAAAAGAAAGTAAAAAGGCTTGGGAAAGCAGCAGAATATTTGAACTGCAAACTTTTGAACTAACTTTGGTGAATGATCTGTCGCCATGGCAATGGCATTTGATGACACCCCATAATACGCTTAGATGTGTTGATGGCTGCATCGTTACCAAACCTGTGAAGTTTTGGGCCATTTCGATCATTTTCACTGAAGTTATGAGAAAACCGTGTTTCATGGTGAGCATTGTGTTGCCATGGCAACGGCATTTGAAGAAATCTCAAAACTGTCCCGTAGATGTCTTCACGGCTGGACTGTTAGCACACATGTTAAGTTTGAGCACTTTTTGAACATTTTCATAGGAGTAATACATTACATTAGGAGGTTATATTACTCTCTCTTCTCTTGATCGCCCTCTCTCTCTCTTCTCTTGCTCGCCCTCTCTCTCTTCTCTTGATCGCCCTCTCTCTCTCCTCTTGATCGCCCTCTCTCTCTCCTCTTGATCGCCCACTCTCTCTCCTCTTGATCGCCCTCTCCCTCTTCTCTTGATCGCCCTCTCTCTCTCCTCTTGATCGCCCTCTCCCTCTCCTCTTGATCGCCCACTCTCTCTCCTCTTGATCGCCCTCTCTCTCTCCTCTTGATCGCCCTCTCTCTCTCCTCTTGATCGCCCTCTCTCTTCTCTTGATCGCCCTCTCTCTCTCTCTTCTCTTGATTGCCCTCTCTCTCTCCTCTTGATCGCCCTCTCTCTCTCCTCTTGATCGCCCACTCTCTCTCCTCTTGATCGCCCTCTCTCTCTCCTCTTGATCGCCCTCTCTCTCCTCTTGATCGCCCTCTCTCTCTCTTCTCTTGATTGCCCTCTCTCTCTCTCCTCTTGATCGCCCTTTCTCTTCTCTTGATCACCCTATCACTCTTCTATCACCCTCTCT